CATGTACTTGCCACAATGGAATAACTCCTCAATCAGTGGGAATTTCCACTGCCCCCGTCATACACAGACTGTCCCCCCAAGACACCCTCTTATATACAGATACAAACAAATCACACCTCACTACTGACATTGTCAGGTGACCACCATCTGACGCTACTTAGATACCACCCATCACCCTGTACCTCGTGGTTTGATTAGATCATCTTTATCCATCATGCTGTCATTTTAGATCCTTTCTTGAACCTGGGTCTGTATCTGTGAGGAGTGGATACCAAGGTCTTTTTTAATGAGCAGGTGATATTCTGTGCTTTCCACTTATGATCAGTACCAATTATTGTTCTGCACCTGGGCCTATTACCAATTAGTGTTTTGCACTCTCAGCCCTGTTCATGTCAAGTTCTATGAGCTAGGGCCTGCCTCTTGCTCACAGCTTAGCTTTGCTTTATCTTAGCCATGTTTTGTCCATTGTTAGTTAGACCTCAGCTCCTCAGGCCAGGCCTGTGCTGCATGGGCTTATGTTTTAGGCCTTCATCTTACTACAGCCATCAACATTAACATTTTTCTACCTATAATTCCAGAGAAAATCATGTACAGTTTCCTGTCCCAAAAAGGAATGGCGGGGGTGCCTCATCCTTCACAGCGATGGCTACTGCAAGGATCGACATCGTCTCATGATCGCTGTTCTGTGAGTCTCTACACCTCCTCGCCACAGTAGCATTATCCTGCAACTGCAACGTTCTACCTGAGGAGGAAGAATCAGAACATTTAAAGGAGCAAAATGCCGGGGCACTGAATAACAGAACGGGAACCTTTCACTCTCCTGTGCCTATTTGTGAACAGTGCCCTGAAAGTGAGGCCACCGGAGTTTACACCAGGTTAACTGTCCCCACAGTGGGGGAGGGGAGCAGAAGTCACCCTAAAAAGCAAATTATGGAAAGACAAAAGTTTAGGTGACTGAAAAATATTTTAACTTTGGTAACACAAAAGGGTTTTCCACCTATGTCAAGACCCATTGACCAACCTGAATTAAAGCTAACTCGTATTTTTATATCTGCATAATCTAAAAATTACCATTTAAAAAAATGATTTAAAAATATTGCTTAAGGGCTGACATTTATGTGCCAGGCTTCTGACCATTGCAGAATTTTACAACCGGGCTGTAAACCCCTAATAACAGGGGTTTATAATGGCAAAGCAGACACAACTGTAACCATAAACAGAGAGCGGCGCCTCTGGAACATAAACAGCGCAGGGTATTCATAAATCTATATACCACGTGAAATAAAGTGCTTTCAATCCAGTTTTAAGTGCCTGTCTTCCGACACCCTCCTAACAGCATGTGTCTTCATTCTGAAAGCTGGAACAGAACAAATGAATCCAGGGCAGGGCCTATTGTGTTGTACTCTTCATGGGCCTCATTTTGCAAGGTGCTGAGATTCTTCCATGAGGTGCTACACATCTGCCACATACACTGACGTCAATATTCTAGTCAGGAGGTAATTAAAGACCTCATTTAAGCAGTGTGCAATTTCAGGATACTACACTAAATCTGTATTCGCATATCATTTTCACAGTGGTGGATCTCAACAACTTGAGGATGATTCTAACTCTCTCCCACCCAATTTAATTTTAATTTCTAATTTCAATTTAATTTCTAGCGCTCTCTTGCCACATTTAATATTAATAAATTACGACGTCTGTTGTAGATTGCAAGTGCTACACGACACACCCCAAATAGTGGCAAATAATTCCTTAGTTATTCAGCCAACGAAAGAGAAACATATTTTTACACGTTTTGCTCTTGCCCTAATCTTTGTCATATCTCCTAAACGTTCTCTGCAATAAATTCTACTGACTGCAGTAATGCCTGTTTTGAGGGTACAGCTGATCAACTGCAGACTTTCCTGTTATGGAACGCGGCTAACACACTGTTCATAACTCCAGCAGATGTTTCTGCTTTCAAACCAATGGGAACTTTATGGACTGTTTTTCCCCCTCCTTCCCAGGGGTAACTGCTCGAGCTGTCAAGATCAGGGAAACTGCTATTCAGTGACTAACAGCAAAAATGTTGCTTTC